GCGAGTCGTTGACGTGTCCTTTTGGTCCAAAATCCATGGCGTCCTGTGCAACCTGACACTGATCTTGATGTCATCCAACGCCGGAGATGTGATCCAGTCTGCAGGGCTTTTTTTCTCTCACATGGTGAGGGCAGTGAAGAACTTCTCCCCCAAATATTAGCAGAGCCTTGCCTGGGCTTTTCCAAGCTTTTACCACAGCCAATCGCTGACTTTATGTGGATCAGGCACCTAGCGACTGAATCAGCCAGACGGTGGTGCTTCTGGCATGGCCTACTCTTAGCTGGGCATACGGGGAACCGGAAATGTACCCGCGCCACGATGAGGCGGTAGACCATCACGGTGGTCTTTTTCTTATCAATACCTCTTGATTCAATCTCTTTCCGGCATGATGACATCAGTGGATTCTATAAGGTTGACGCAGCTCGTTGGAGCCAATGATTTTGAGGAGACCAAAACCTTATAAAGACGATTAATTTTTTTCTAAAGAGGATAGCAATATAGTAGAAGGCTTGTTGAAGATTGCCAAGAAGTAGTAAAGAATTTTTGTTCTACGCTATCTTCTTTCATTCTATAAACAGCCTCTCAAAATGTTTTATTTGAAATTTCTCTGGATAAAGCAAAGATATGTTTGAAAATTCGCTGAAATCACTTTGGCATTGTCAGGTTTCCTGGTGGACATCCACTAAGCCCCCATTCTTTGATGTTCATATTGAAATAGAACAAATGATCAGAGCCGTCACGATTGGATACGGTGTTACTGCAGTAGTCCCCATCAGCCTCTTGACAAATCGTGTACGGTTGTCCAACAGCCATATCATTGTCATACCTAAGATATGGGAATTGGCACTTTGATTGTTGCCGCACTAATGGATAACTTACCAGACTTCGTAACGATTATGGAACGCCATGTCGGCTCCAAACCTTGGAGGCGTATGGGGTACAGGATCGCGGTGGCTTATAACGCGGTAAGAGTAGAGAAACTAAAATTCAATCAGTTATGAAAATAAGCGCTTACTAAGGTCAAGAGAGCAATCCATTCTGAGATTCAAGGAGCAGGTGATTTAAAAGTAACAAACGAATTTTGTGGAATGACGGAAAACATTGAGTTGTTACTGATTATTGCTTACTGTAGCGTCATGCCACACAGCAAAATCGTAGTCGCCAGTTCTAGGCTCGCCATATGTGATAAGTCTGAGGTCTTTTGGTGCCCACATCCCCCATTTCAAAATGTACGAAGCAGCTACAGTCGCGATTGATGCTCCCATAGAATGACCCGTAACCTAAGAAAAATCAAAAAAACTTGTTTTGCCTCCTCTTTGAAGGACTGTCCATGATAATATCTCACATAAATTTTGTAGTCTGGATATTGATACTTCAGCGTGCGGACCTGCTGCTCAAGGCCTCCATTCCATAGGAACATAAATGCGTCATTGAAGTATTTGATCAAATGCCCGTTATCAAAAAAGGCTATCTTTTTCCTAAAAACATCTGAGTGATCATAATTTTACAAAACTAGCTTGGTCGTACTGAAGGAGGCTACTGTATGTTAGATCTAGTCCTTGTAATTCAGAGCTGGCACCGATGAAGACGATAATGATAGCTTTTTCCACTGGATCCCAAGCGGAATAGCCATAACAATGGACACCTGAAGGTAAATCACAATCTCACAGTTGGTAAGATAGGAATGAGGCTTACTGGTCTGCTCTTTGGCGCACTGAACGCGAATGTTTTTGTAGTACGCAACATGAGGAAGAAGCCTTAATATGCGTATAATTTTGTACAAAGTAAATTAACGGAGTCGCAATAAATAAAAGGTGAAGAAATTGATTTAATAGCATACAAAGATTGGGATGTGTTCGATTGTTATTGTGGTAAATATAACATAGATAAGGTTGACTAGTATTATCAGTCGAACAAACATTCTAAAAAATTCAATTGATTAGAAGTCAATGAAGTGCAGCAAAATTGTTTGGTTACTCGATAACAATTTGGGTAAGCATTTAAACACAGTTTTAGCGTGATCTTCACTTTTCCCACAGCAGCGAGAGCTATAAAAAGTTGGAGGAAAGAAGGCAAGGACAAGACTATTTGCGCTTAACTTATAACTACTGATGACGAATATTTCAACTGGGGATTTGATGAATGCAGGATGATGCCTACTAAAGAATAAGTTGTTGGGTGAAACGGACTTCTTAGCAAGAAAATGTTACAAGGACTAGTGGCCAGGCATTCTTCAATTAGAAAGTAACTAAATGGTGAAGAAAAATTACGTGTGCGTGACACTTGGCCCTGTTTTGCACATCTTATAAAGCATTTATGCGCACTCATCTTCGCATTATAAGCCGAAACGTAAACCATCTGATGATTTTAC